ACCCACAACACAAAGAGTTTGATTGAGGGAGGAATACAGACAACCATAAACATGTGTCAGGACTTGTGTTGATTGGTTCACTCTAAATCCAACACCAGGCATGAGATACCAACATCCACACAGTGGTAGGATGAAGGCTCCCAATCAAATGAGTGAACTGCATTTTCGACAGCTCAACTTCAGTGATTGTGTAAATGGTATTAGGAAGCCATGTTATCCAGCAAGGTGATGGCTCAACTCCTCTAGATGTCACTTCTCATCTACATTAGCAGCACACCACCACCCAACTGAATGATTATAGCCATTTTTTGTGGGACCCATTCAGGAGGTTGCCTCCATGATCAACCACACCAGTGGCTTGAAACTGGAAAGTGGTAAGGATTCCCACACTGCACTAGATATTACTGGAGACAGTGCAACGGATGACCACAAAACCCTATTTTGCAAAGCAGACCATACTGATTTATTCAATCAAGGTATTGCACGTATGGGCAGCCATCCCTTTCTGATTTACCAATGCAGTCCACGGGTGGTACGGTTTGAAACAGGCATGTTTATGAAGCAAAAACATTGCTAGGTTATTCACCTTTAAGCAATCTTCTGGAAACACTCCATCCCACCAGTGAGCATTGCAAATCCATGGAAGAGAGCACAATTCAACATGGCTGTACAGTGCAGATATCAATTGAAGGATACTTGGACAGGCAACACTCTCCACAAAGTGGGATACAAATAGTGAATAATGAAGCAAGGACCCCTGAAAGGAAAGAAATCATGAATGGAAACTTACCCAGTTAGAGTTGCACTGAAGTATGAAAAAGGGTCACAGGTGGTAAAAGAAAACCTGGTGAGGAAGAAACTGTGATATGGTGTAGATAAGGGGAGAAGAAAGTATTAGGTGTATTATTCATGCCAAACGAGATGAGATGTCAGGAAAAAGGTAAGAGGTCAATTCTGATGAAAAGACACCTGGAACAAAGTCTGGGAAGAAGATGACAAAGGGGAGTAAGCCAATGGGACTAAAAGCTGAACAAAATTGGTGAGGGCAGTAGGAGAAAGATCTGTCTTGAGAAAAACTACCTAGGAATAAAGAGGTGGGAGTGAGCACCACGTAAAGAAGCCATAAGGGCAATAGAACAACGAAGAGCACAGACCGTACAAAGAAGTTGATCCATAACGGGATGAAGAAAAAGATGGGAAATGAAAAGAAGGGAATTAGGCAAAAGGACGAGTTACCTCCCCTAACTGCCGATATCTGGGGTAGAAAGGAAAGTTCCAGATAAAGGAGAAGAGAGGGAGTTGAAAAAATGTATGAGGAACATCACGAGAAACAAATCTGACCTCTGACATACACAAGCATAGAGGAGAAGGAATTATGTTTGAAGGGAAGGTTAAACATGGAACACAAGGAAAGCGATGCAAATGAAGGTAAAGTAGAGAATAAAAGATCACATTAATATCCCAGGTCAGAATGTTAGGCAATCACAGAGGATAACTAATCCGGAAGGAACATATGAACAGTTAGGATAGGTGAGGTAAAAATTCTACAGTATTGAGAAAAAACTAAGATATGGGATAAGGCTGCCCAATAACCCACAGTCAAAAAACCAGGAAAGAAACAGCCAACCGAGACACAGGTTTGATCTGCAGAGAAAAAACCCGACTCGTAGATTAACTGCAGAACACTTTCCATTTATGCCAATAAACACACACTGAAGAAGAGTGAATGGAACAAGCTAAAAGAAAGCTACCTGAAAGTATAAACCTGATCTCCCCACTAAGGACTGAATAAGAGCCCAGCTTGAAGACAAATGATGGGAATGTCCGGATGGCGTACTGGTGGACAATGAAGGGCAGGAGATAAAGGAAGAGGCAGTGGAGGTAAAAGTTGGAGCTAGAGAAGTCGCTGAAATCACAGTTGAACTGCCCATTAAAGAGCAATCAGAAGGACCTAAGCAATGGTAGGGATGTAAGAAGAAGTAAGAGGATGAACATACAGGTACCTGTGTGACCAATCCAAGCTAAAGACATCAACTAGAGGAGTAAGTACTTGATACCAAATAAAGGTAACGGGTGGTTAAGAGATGTAGTAATGGGATCTACGTGGGAAGAATGCCATGGAAGACAAAGCCCCCACAAAATAAGAGCGAGAGCACCCAGAACGTGACATGCAAAAATATGAATATTGTGCAAAGGGGCCCAAAAGAGCAGATCTAATATGTGAAATGAAGTGCGAACAGGCACCACCCACAGGAGCAATGTCCTCCAAAAGGAGACAAGAGAAGAAAAGGAACAGACTGTAAAACCCTCCTAATAATGGAAAGGAAAACAAACAGCAGTGTCACACCTAATACTAACTCAAAAGCAAAGAAGCCATATGAGGAGGAAATGAACTGAAGATTGCAAAAATCCCAATATGGAGAGAAAAAAGCAGAGATATCCCTCAACAAACCCCAAATGTAAACAGAACACTGAATAAAAGGAAACATGAAACATTAATGGTATGAGCAACAATAGGGGAAAAAAGAATGACAAATGCCAGAAAAAATCTGCCTGAAGTTAAACTAAGATAAAATTGAAAGCCCATAGAAGGTAAGGCTTGTAAGTACCCAAACTCAAAAGAAACAATAGGAACAGCAGAGGAAACGTGAAGATAATGTGTAAATTAGGTCTAGCAGATACTGCAATAAAAGTATGGTAGGCATTCCACGATAAGGTCAGGGAAAACGGAAGAAAGATGTCGACCTTTTTAATGTTCAATCTCCTTGAGGATAAACACCAATAAAAACCCACGCTGGGTTGCCCACAGTGGGTCAAGTTTCAGAAATGTCCATGTAACTTGTTACAGGCCCTAACTTTTTATTTAGAATATCTCTGTGGTAAATACTTGCAGTGCAAAAATATACTTTTTCAGAAAATAAGCCAGGAGTAAATAAATGTGCAAACATACAACACAATTTTTTATAAAGGCTGCTTTCAACAGTAGTACAAAAATCAAGAAACTTTTAAGAACTGTTATTATATCACAGTGTCCCTGTTATTAGTCACCAAATTACACAAATACAAAACCTGTACATTATGTGTATTGTATTCTAGAAATATGATACTTTTGAGAAGGGTGCAATAACATTAATGCCTGTAATGAACATTGAGTGCTACAGGATTTTAGGAAGATTTTCGCAATGAAATATCATGCATCTCTGGATTTTTTAAATAAAATAAAAATGTTTGAAAGCATATAAAAATGCTATCACCCTAATGAAAACAAACACATTTACCACTGCAGAACAAGCAACAGAAACAGGACATACCATACACTGAGACAAAAACTAGATAGTAAGTAATAATATATATATATATATATATATATATATATAAAAACAAAAACTATTACATATCATAAAATAGAAACTAACACCCCAAAAAAGGCAAAAGATCAGGAACAAACAATTTGTGAATTATACTAATGAAAACAGAACCAATCATAAAGTAGAATCTCCATCAAATAAAGAAAAACATTGCACAACAGCCCTCTAAGAAGAATGTATCACAGCTTCACAAGGATGTTCATAACCTGAAAAAGGAACACACAATTGTTCCAAAACATATTCAAGGCAAGATATCCAATAGTAAAGCCTTTTTTTTTGCCAATGATGTCTCTCAAACAATATCTCATTTAAGGTGGCTTGAAAAACACAGCTTACTAGGATTGAAGTTTTGATAAGGAAATTTTCTATCTGACAGAAAGAAACATATTTTATAAGGTATAATAACTTTCTGATTATTAATGTCACTAGCTTCCTCAAGTACAATAGCATAATTATATGATTTTACCAATCCAAATATTAGAAAACTTCTCTTGCTTTTTAATATTTCAAACCATATAGAGAATGGTCTTTACTCTAGAGGTTGATCAATTATGGCAACCTCATGAAATTATTCAAGTACTGTTGAAAATAAAAACAAGTATATCATATTTGCTATACAAATATTAATTACTGCACAAATGTACTTTTAAGGAACTCATTCAAATAAAAATCATTTTCTCTTTAAAGTTTATTATACTTTTTACAAGTTCCTTTTCACATTATATAAGTTTCTGCCTTGTAATAAATTTTACTAGTGACATCTTCATTTTTTACTTACCTGCTAATGCAAAAATAAGATGCTGTGTCAAATGATATTAAAATATTTCACCAAAATAATAAATCATAAAAAAGAAAGATAGCAATAAATCTGTGATAGCAGATATGAATTCACGCATTCATTACATCAACAGCTAGGATGTAACAAACAGTAGTTTTAGTAGGAGATTGGATTTATGGCTCCTGATATCCGATGAGATAGTATATATGGCTATTGAAAATGTACCACATACTATAGTATTAAGCTAATTACTTTGTGATTGTGTTTTGAAAATTTAATAAGGATGTACATTCCTGCATGAGTGAGTGGTGACTGTAAGCCCTTTGATGGAATGCAGCACGTGGCAGTGAGAGACAGTGCTTTACACCTCTGATCTCCTGCCAGGACTGTTGTCTGGATTTTGTTTGATTTATGTATTTTTATATGAATTGATTCACATTTTGTGATAAATTTTGGTGTTAAGGTTTACAAAAATTTGAAGAAAAGGCAAAAAAACAATTAACCATTTGTTGCTTCTTGGTGGTTTTTATAAAATATCTCAAAATAAATATGCATTTACTTTTCATTACATATTCCCATCTATATGAATGGAATGAGTAGCTCATAATACCTTAAGCAATGCATGTCTATATACCTTCATTCCTGTTAGGCAGCCAAGCATTCATGAATGATGGCATATTATAACATTAGCTTTAATTAGATAAATGGATAGGTACTTAATTTCAGCATGTTTTCTAATCATATCTGTTAGAAAAGTGAAAGTGTAAATTAATTGCTTTATAATGTTTAAATACAAGTTTGATAATACTAAAACAGAACAAATTATATGCACTGCTAAATGTTTTTGTACTTACAGATCTAGTAACTATGCTTTTATTTTTTGGTCCCATCACCTGCCAACCTTCTTCCCCATTGTCATCTAAATGCCCATTGGCAGCTAATTCTTCTTTCCAAGCTGGAAAAAAAAGATGCACAAGTTTAATTACACTCTTTTAGCATTGAAACAGGTGATATTAAACATAAGGAAAAAACCTCTTAAAACTATAATAAAATATTATACAATCAATCAGTAACTAGTAAATTGTTCCTCACCCCAACCTTGTACCAAGAATTGGATAATCTATATAAAATGTAGAGAAAATTATAACTTTCCTATTAACTATTGTAACAAAGATGTTACATCATAACAAAATTATAGGTATGAAAATAACTACAAATACACATAACATTAGAATGTTCATTCCAAGTAAATGAATAATTCTAGAGTTCATAAACTACTGCTAACCAAAACAAGGTATCAAACAATTGTGTTGAATTAACTTGTGTGTCAGCATTATAACAAGTTAAAACAACTAAATTTCCATCACATCTCTTCACAACCTCATTTTTTGCTATCAGGAAATGATTTGTAAACTGTATGAAATGAAGTTTGTCTATAAACGTAATATTTCTCTTTCATTACAAAAGTGTTTGGGTCTGTTGAACATCATGAATAACACATTATGTCTCCATGTTACAAATTTTAAATTAAAAGCCTATTGGTAAGCAGTACTACTTACAGTTACAAAAATTAGCTAACACAGGATATGGTGAAGTAAAGTGAGACTAATATGTTGATTCATTTAAATATTTTATATTTCAAATAATTTGAATGGTATAGAAAAAATAAAATGAATGCAATTATTTTTCCAAGGCTGTTCCATTGTCTATGGTTTAATTTCATCTTGGCATTTCCATTTACAGGGAGAAATAACTTACTTCTTCCACATTTCTTTCATACATTTTTATTATATTTTTTTATGCATACTGTTAACTAAATTTAATTTAAACTAAAAACCTTTCCGAAAAAGTGAAATAACTTGGCAATTCAAGAAGACAAAAAAGAAAACCAATTTACATTCTGTTCTGCAGATGAAATATTGAGCAAACAGTATTAATCCTATGTAAACAGGGTCAGTCCAATGGACCAAGCTCATACTTGAAGAATTAATGTACAGTACTATGCAAACGTGTCAGGATAAAGTTGAAAATTAGATTTCAGCCTACTTTCAAAGAACAATGAGAGGTAAATCACAGATGACACATTCAAATTTTTATAAATCTTCATATTTAGTACAACAGAAACTCAGTGAAAGTGCTTGAGTTCAGCAAACAATTAACATTTTATGTGTCCCCTTTTGCTTTAATAACTGCAGACAGTCTTTCAGGCATTGTTGCAACATATTTAATCAAAGTGTCCTTTGGGATTTTACTCCAAATGTCTCTAATAAACTCCTATAAAGTTTCTTTAGAGGTAACTTTTGATTTGTCAAATCCCAGATCTACTCATTAGGGTTGAGACTGGGGCTCTGTGGAGGCCATTGCATCTAGCAGCTTCTTTCTTAGCTAAGAAATTTCTGCATAGGTTGAATGAGTGTTTGGGGTCATTATCTTCTTGGTAGTAGAATCCTTTACTAATAATATGCAAACCACTGGGTATATCATGACAGATTAGTCTGATGGTACTTGCACTGATCCATTATTCCATTTATTTTGCAAATACCTCCTGTTGCCTAGGCAGAAAAACACCCCAAAACCATCACACTGCCTCCCCCATGTTTCATGGTAGGTGCTATGCATTGAGGTATCTTTTACCTTTCTTCTGCCAGATTTACAACCTACACTTTGAACTAAATATTTCAAACTTTGATTCATCCGTCCATAACACCTTTTCCAATTATCAACAGTCCAGTTTTTGTACTTTTAGCAAATTTCAGTCCCTTGACAATATTTGGAGATCAAAGTAAAAGTTTTTTTAACTGCTACACGACCAAATCTTCCATTCTTATTAAGTCTTTTGATACTGTAGATCTGGACACTTTTCTGTCATTTAGTACATGGTCATTTATCTCATGCTTGAGATCAGTGGCAGTCTTTTCTGTCCCAAATGCTGCATAAACAACGATACTTAACATCAGTATCATTCAGTTTAAGTGTTCTGCCTCTTCCTTTCCTACTTACCTATCTCGATCTAGGGTGTTTGGGTGAGCATTTCAAGTCTGCAGCAATTTGTCTGAGAGTCCAACACGCATCACATAAAGCTTTCATGCAAACTCTCTGCTCTACTGATAATTGTCTATGCTTTTTGGGCCATGGCATTAAAGTAAAACTTGATATATAGTGTTAAACACTGTTTAACAAAACTTAATATACAGCATTAAACACTGTTTTTATCAAGTTTTATTTGTGGAGTGCTACTGAATTGATTTATTCTAGCATATACCGGTACCATATACTAGCTCCTTGCTAGCTTCTTTCTGTGTAGTTAAGACACTGCATGAGATACCATGACAGTTATTTCAGGCCCTAAATTTGATCATTATGTTCATTCAAGCAGAACCCTTAGGACATGTCCTTCATACAAGTATATGGGAATTCTATAGAATGATAAGTATTCTCACCCTGGCCCATTCAATTGTCAACAGGGATCAGTGAAGCATTACCATAGTGTTGAAATTTACATTCCGTAATGGAATGGAAGAATTAGCCCTATAAAATGGAAAGAATGACAAAATATTCTCTTGTCCTAACACTTTTGCACAGTACTGTATACTACAAATTCTGAGTTTACTTAATGTATCTTCATGGAATTCACTAACCATTTAGTAAACATTACAATTACTTTGTATACAAAAAATCTAAATTTTCAATAAATTATTTTCACTAATGATTTGTTTCTGAATTTACTTTAGTTAATTTGATCCAGACTGCCTAGTCCAAGTACAAGGTTATTTTCTTGTTAAGAATAACAATGTTTTTTTCATCTTACAGTTTTCATATTTCATTTACGTTATCTCAAGAACCTCCTAAATGAATAAATATCTAGTTTTCAGTAAACTTCATATTCTATCTGTTACTTTCTCTATCCTAACACTATAGAAGCTTGGTTAATTTGACGAAATTTGAAACTACTATAATAAACACAAAATAAATCTAAATTACCTTTTATTTCTAGAATGACTGCAGACTACAATAGAAAATTACAATTATTTATCCTAAACAACCACAAGCTTGTAACAGTTTATTATTGTAGCTCATGTGCATGTCTTGCTGCAAAACGTATAATTTTCCTCTACTGGAAACTTATTCCCAATAGGTATTTACCTCCACTCACATATATATAGCTATTCTCCTTCAGTGCTGCCCTCTATATGAAATTTTGTTTTTTTGCATGCCACAAGCTTTGCACTCCCATGTACTTCATGAACTAATCATTCAACTGTGTCCCGCATGTAAATCATCATGCGACACACCCTCTTGATGTACATGACTCCGTCTATTCGATTCTACTGAATTATCATTTTGAGTTTAAGCAAAACAAAAAGCACTAGTTTTCAGTGAGAAGGAAGGGTAAAAGGAGGTAATTACTTATTGGAATTACATTTTCAGTAAAGGAAAATCATAACTTCTAATACAATACATTACCTCTTCTCACATATATAGCTAGAATCCCACACTGAAAAGGTTGGGAGACTGGTGTGAGGGATAAAAATAAGCATCCTTTGAAAGAGTTGTGATCCCCGTAGTAGAGGATCATATGTAGGAGACTGCACCACTTCTGTACCTGGTGTGCTCAGTGTGTGGAAAGAGGTGTCACATACACGAGCAGAAAGATGGAGGAGCACAACCAAAAGGGAGAGAAAAATGGTTGGATTTGAATCTAAACCATAGTATATCATAATCTCAATCCATCGAAAAAAGACTGTAAAAGAAACATCTACAGACAATGTGGGGAAAACCTAAAATGGATGTACTCTAAGATGTAGAGTGGCTACGGTGCAAGAGACCATGCATGGGAGGTCAACTCCAGTCCAAAACCAATTGGTATTAGGAATATAACCTCCGATTCATGGTATGAGGAGGGTCGACACTGTCTTCAACTCAAGTTCAGTAGAATGGAATTATATACTGTGCAAACTGAGCTACAAAACAGGCACATGTGTACAAATCTACAATTAACCATACATCTCAGGCCACGAACTCCTTGAGATGGAGCTCAAGAGAGAGAAACATCACCTCATTCAACATAATCCTCCTAGCACTCTTGTGGAACATCCCATTTCAACAATGTGCATTACTAGCCATGGGTATATAGTATTTTATCAAGGCTGAACAGTGCATATTTGAGATACATTAAGCATACCTGGACAGGTAATGCTCACCACAAAGCGAGATTCTTATTGAGAAAAAGGAACTTATATTTATTTCCTAATTCTTTTATGGTGGTTGTGAGATTGGTCAAATCTACCAAACCTGTACAGAGATTAATTACTGAGAATAACAGATAAAACATAAAGTTTTTCTAAAGAAATGTTTGATAACTATCCAGATATTATAAAGATTTCGCATGTGAAATTTGAAAACTCTCTAATGCATAAAAGAATTTTTAATCTTAAAATGAAATTTACTTTGCATGATAGATGGGCAACATGTGAAAAAAAAAAAGGCAAGAGAATAACATCGTTTTACAAACCTTAAGACTTAATAAACATTTTTTTATATTTTGCGTATGAAAGCACTGTAATGTTTATTGATAATCGGCCAAATTTCGTTAACATTAGCTTACTAATTTAAAAGTTATAGCATGAAAACTACAACAAGCATAAACTGGTTATGAGGTCGGTCCCAGGGACTGAGCCCATGCTGAAAGAGTTAAAACCCGAAATGAAATAAACTGTCAATGTCAACATCAGGCATTAGAAGATTAAAAGAAAGTTACCCAAATATATATGAATTCACCGACTGGAAATCCCACATTTAGCTACACAACTTTAAACTAATATATTAGTATAAAACTTTTTTTTGGTAAAATTTCTATCTTCTGCACTGGACATTATTACAAGATTGAAAATTTTTTTCATATAGCATAATATTTTTAGAAAACTTTCTTATATGAAATAATATACATTTTTTATGCATTCTAGCAGTAACTAATCATGAAATAATCCAAAAAAATGAATCTGAATTTGGTAGTATTGTTAAGAATTTGCTTGAAATTTTTTAGCAACCTTACCTTTCAAATACATGGCCAAGCTACATGCGTGAATATTTAACCCATTTCACCCATCCTCATCTACAAATATAAAGTAAATGTGTAATCTATATATCCATTTTTCACACCTACATTGTTTGACTTATATCAAACAACTTTGGCATGCACCCTTAACTCTCCATTATTTTATTGATCCCTACCAAACTTCATCAGGCCACACTGAGGAGTGACATAGGGGTTTAACATTTGGATCTAACCCCCTGTCAGTCCCCAGAGGGATATCTTTTTCTCTCTCTCCTTTCACACTTTTATGTTTTGGCCAATATCAACTGGGTCAACATCAGGATCTGACCACCATGTAACTGCCTATCCCCCAAAAGTTCCTATGTCTTCTCCATGCTTTAAATGAGTACTTTGGATAGCTTTTGATATTTATTTTTCTAGTTTACTTAATAAGTGTAACCAATACTTTAAACCTGTCAAGAGCTTGCTGCAAGTTTTATCAAGAAGACCTGTATTTTATATCTACTTCATTACTTATCAGCCTATATTATGAACTTTAAAAAACACTGTTTAAAATTATCCAAAAATTTTCACAGAATTTTATATATCTGTTAAGTTTTGTAAGAAGTAATTAACTTTAAAATTATTTTCATTATTACAAACATTTTAAATGGAATTTTTTCTGTTGTATTTATTTATTATGCAACCACAAACTATCTCAGTAACATTTGGTATGACATAAATATACAACATTTGAATAATTCTTTGTAAATGAATGTAACAACAGTGTTTAGATCACAGAATACTTTATAAAACAAGTTACTGATTCTGTAGTGGCAATTCAAAAGACTTGCCTTTATAGAACCATACATCATTTTATTAAACCTAAACTACCAAAATGGACAATTATCAAAAACAAATGTTAAAAGTAATTTTTACATTTCCTTTTATGATTTTTCATTATAGGCATATTGTTTATTATTGAATTATTAAGTATAATTTTTATTAAGTATTTCTTGGAATCACTAATGATTATATCTGTTTTCTTGCATACCTTAAAAATACATCAAGAACTCAATGAATGATATATAGTTTATATTATCTGATAATAACAAATACTTTGCATTTTCTTGATTTAGGCTCACTGTACAGTCACTGAAATGATTGCAATTGTATATTCTTGGCCAGTGTCAGTTTATGAATGGCAAGGACAGTATAGTAAATAAACTTAGTATTCCAAAAATTGATTAATTTCAAAGTCTAAGTTCAAGGGAGGTTCAGTTCAATCCATACTTTGATCAATGTGTGTCATTGGGTTATACTAGTCTCAGAGAATTACACTCCTCATCAGTAACCAAAGATAAATATGTTTGAAGGATAGTATAGAGAAGGTTACAGAATTCAAACATGAATGTTGCATAACAATTATAGCTTACCTATGAAACAAACAACTATTCCTAAAAGTTCACAGAGTTGGTACTCACCAGGATTCTCTTCATGTCTCCTAACAGTTTTCAAAATGGCTAGCATTTCTTCATGAAGCCCATTTAAAATGCAACTCAGAAATTCTTCAGCATCTTCCTGACGACCCTACAAGTAATTTGTTTGAAAAACAAAAAAATTAACAAAACTAGAATATTTTTTAATGATAAGAAAAATAATGCTCAAGAATGAAAAATACAAACCTAAATATATTTTGAGATTTGACTAAAACGTAAAACTGTTTATACACAAATGACAGATAAAGGAACTAAAAATTTACTACAAACCACAATACTTTCCATTTTCCCAACCTTAATAAAATTATCTTACAGAATGTGAACACATTAAAATGGTTATGATCCCTTTCATTCACTTTCAACTGTTAATAGTATCTGAAAAATATAATTCCACATACACACAAAAACACATATATAATAGCATCACTTTTGTCTTAAATATTTGCATTAAGAGTTAATCATCTAATTTTAATTCAAATGTTTCTTCTTTGAAATCACACACAAAAATAAGCAAAAAATAAAACAGAAATAGTAATAATTCATTTTTACAATGCTTGTATAAATTAAGTTAAACCTTTACTTACCAAATTAAAATGATCCTTTCTACTGTAGTCTATCTAGTAGCTACAATAATTTCTTAGCCATAATATAATCTGAATACTAAAAAGGATCTTGAAGTGTATTTTGAAATGAGCTTGTATATTAACATACCAGTAAAACAGTGACAAATTAACAGTAATCTTGATAATTTCTACTAATATTTTCAACTTGAACACCTTTAGGTAACACATGGGCTAAAAAGATATATTAAAGAACAGAAGGAAGGCGCCAATCAACTGTCACAGTTATAATGTCCCAGAATATCATGGCTTAAACCTTGGATCTTCAGATCCACTCCAACCCATAACTTCAATAAAAAGAACAGTTTAATTAAACAATTCACTATAATTCTGCATATAAGTGACACACTTGTGATGTTGTCCCAGTTTCCAAGTACTACATATGACACTAATTCTGAAAATGTTTTAAACTGTTTAAACTTTTAAAATAAATAAAGAGAGCAAAAAACAGTCATGATAGACAACCTAAATTTAAGGCTAGTAAAATTTAAAAACATCTGAGACACACACACATTAAAAAAATTACTGTAACTTAAAATCATAAAAACTTTAAATTATGCAAATGAGATTTTAAGTAGGGTTGAAAACAGTAAACAAATAGTAGCAATACGAATGAAAACTTTACAAGAGCATATAAAACCAAACAACTATAGAAGAGAACAAAAGAAGACAAATAAAATGAATTCATAATTTCTGTACACACTTAGAAAACACTAGTCAAAAATCACAAGAAAGGTTTTTAATGACTTTATGGTTCTTTTCAAAAACAACTGATAAAGAAAACTAAATGAAAAAACACAAACACACACACACACCTTCACACATTCCGACTTGATCACATTTAACATTTTATAAACATTTCCAGGCTCAAAAGAAGTTCCAATAGCCAAATCTTCTTTTCTCTTGTTCCTGCCAACAAGCGGCACAGTTGGAAATTCTTGCATGAATTCCACTCTAAACAAAATTAAATAAAGCATTTCAGAACATGACTAATGTTGTTCTATTAAAATACAAGTATTATAGAGGTACTAAGCATTCATAAACTGGGGCTATTCTGCTACAACATAAAGGTAACTAAATGTTTACCACAACAAGATCATTATTTTCTACTCAAATAATACATTTCTTTTTAGATTACAGAGAAAGAAAACTTCTCAAAATTATTGACACTACACTGGTCAGGAACAGTGTTAAGAATTATGTTTGGTTTTATTATAGTATCCAGCAATCAACACATTTGATCAGAATAACTACTGAGGTTATGACAAGATTTGCCATTTTACTTACAAACTGTCTAAAATAGGAGTTGATGACTTTGTGCGATTCTGTCCCAGGACACCAGTTAACTTGTTCAGCAAATTATAAAATGGAGGACACACCAGGAGAGCTTGCAAAGTCTGAACATAGGTTGTTAAAGCCAAGAATTTAAAATGTTCATTACTTATACATAAAACTGAAGCTTTTAGGTGGACACATTAGTTTTAGAATTAAAATAACAGAATGAGTACTAAATTCCCATTATGGTAATTTAACAAATTAAAAGTTAGGCAAACTATACATTTGCCAAAACATTTTTTTAGAGAA